CGGATGGTGGTGATCGTGGTGGCCGTGTTCGTTTTCTGCTGGCTGCCCTTCTACGCGCTCAACATCATCAACCTGCTGGTGTCCCTGCCCTCGGAGTACCAGGGCCTGTACTACTTCGTGGTCGTCCTCGGTTACGCCAACAGCTGCGCCAACCCCATCGTCTACGGCTTCCTGTCGGACAACTTCAAGCGGGGCTTCCGCAAAGCCCTGTGCCGCTCCACCAGGCGGGTGGAGAACCACGACCCGGCGGAGCTGCAGCCGCAGCAGCAGGAGGAGGGCCGGCGGGCGCTGATGCCCCGGGAGAGCCTGAGGAGGGCCGTGCGGGCGGAGGAGGACGAGGACGAGGAGGAGGAGGACGTCTCGGAGATGACGGAGATCTACCGGATCACGCAGAACGGGAACACCTTCCAGCCGCGGAGCTCCCAGCTCCCGCTGCTCCCCGATACCGGAGCCACGCCGGGCGCCGCCGGGCAGGCGTCCCCCGAAAGGGCCGGGGAGCCCAGAGGGAAGGACCCCGCCGGAGGGTCCTCGCTGACTGTTCCTCTGCTTCTCAACGGTGCCAAAAACGGCAGCGTCAAAACCCTACCGGAGGAAAACCAGGAGCAGAGCACCTCGCTGGAGATTAGCTATTTGTAGATCTGTTTATGTTTATGTTTATGCGTTTGGAAGACATTTTTATCCAAAGCGACTTACAGAGTAGACACAACATTTATAATCATTTTATTTATTTATTGGAATATGGAAAAAGCACATTAATGAACATCAGTATAAAAACAAATGTAAATATGCCGGATTATAGCTACAAAGCTAGTTTTCATCCGTAGTCCCCAGGCAGGCAAATACATAAGTAAGAAGATATGATAAACAATATAAGCATCACAAGGAAATGTTAAGATTTTAGTGGTCACATGACTGTTCCTCTGCTTCTCAACGATGCCAAAACCCTACCGGAGGAAAACCAGGAGCAGAGCACCTCGCTGGAGATTAGCTATTTGTAGATCTGATTATCAATCAATCAATCAATCAATGTTTATTTATATAGCACTTTACAACAACTGGAGCTGATCAAAGTGCTTTACAGAATAAAAACAGATCTAACTATCGAACAAGACAAAATAATACACAAAGACAAACACATCGGTGACAGAACCCAGTATACAGAGACCCTACGTGCAAAAAGCCATCCTGAGCAAATACGTTTTAAGGTGAGCTTTGAACAGTGGCAGGTCAGTAAATGAACGTAACTCAGTGGGCACAGAGTTCCACAGTTTAGGACCTGCCACTGCAAAGGAGCGGTCACCCCACTGCTTGAACCTGGACCGTGGGACCTCCAGCAGATGTTGACCAGCATTTGGAAGACACTTTTATCCAAAGCGACTTACAGAGTAGACACAATAATACATGTATCATCATTTTATTTATTTATTTATTTGAATAGGGACAAAGCACATTAATGAACACCAGTATAAAAACAAATGTAAATATGCCGGATTATAGCTACCAAGCTAGTTTTCATCCATAGTACCCAGGCAGGCAAATACATAAGTAAGAACATATGATAAACAATAGAAGCATCACAAGGAAATGTTAAGAGTTTAATGGTCACATGACTGGTTTGCTTTCATCCATAATTTGAGTTGAGCTCTAAAGCTGGTCAGTGTAGGGCTCTCCCGTATGTACAGAGGAAGACTGTTCCAGATGTTAGTGGCTCTCAAAGAGAGAGTGTTCTGACCAAAAGTTGTTCTTCTGTGATGGACCTCACAGTCTCCTCTGGAGGAGGCCCTGGTTCTCAGGCCACTTGAAGTCTTAGGTTTGAACAGGGTAGACACAGGAGGGGGGGCTAGTCCATGTAGCGCTTTATAAATCTCTATGACCTCACTAAATGAAATCACTATGACAATAAGCTATACAGAGGAGAAACACTGATCAGAGTCAGTGGTGAGATAGAGATAGAGGTAGAGGGACTACAGAAGGAGCTGTGGGGGGGTAGAGGTACGGGTTAGGGTTAGGATAGGAGATGCTCTTTGAAGAGGGGGGTCTTCAAGAGTTTCTTGAAGACAGACAGGGACCTGCTGTTCTTGTAGGTGGTTCCACCATCTTGGAACGACACATTAAACAGTCTGGATGGTCTTAAGCGTGGTGAAGGCTCTGCTAGACTACAATCCATTGATGACCGGAGTTATCGAAATCTGAAGCCAACAGCCATCGGTACACACTTTCAAACATGGAAGATGTGTCTGTGTATGATGTATATAAAGATGATGTGTTTATGTACATGTCCGAGTGTACGACTTTAAGCTTTTGCTGATTGCAAACACGTGTTGGTGCCTCTCTGTACATGCCCACATGCTGTGGTCTTTAGTCACCATCCATCTCCAGGCCTGTATTGTGTTCTCTTCTTGGAGGAGGGGGACAGACGGCTGCTTTTCTATGGACGAGCTGCTTCATCCCACGCTGAATGTCCAGTATTTGGTTGCATCTTGCAGAAATAAACGCCACAGCCACCACAAACCTGCAGTTTCTGCCTCTTCTCGGCATTGAATCTGTGCTGGGAGTTGGGGCAACTCACGATCCCAGAACAGAAAAGTTCCTGATCCAAATCTCAACTGTGACCTTCCTGTGCGACACTGAATTAGTTCCCACTGATACTGAGAAAACAGGATTTGAGGAATTATTAGGAGGAATTAACAGCCTCTTCTTCCCATTCATCCACTTGGGATCCGCACCTCCGATGTGAGTAAACCTCAGCCTGTTGCTTTTCTTCATCATTTGGCTGTTTCATCTACATTCTGTTTGTGGATCTGCTAACAGATTGTAGCGATTAGCATAAACGTGTTAGGATGCCTCACATTTCTTATCGTCTAGCCTGAGGAAGCTCTCCTCATTTTTTCCTTTTTCTGACCAGCTATATCTGAAATACTGTGTTGATGCTTCAGTTTCCTACATCAATTTCAGAGTCTTACATTTATTGGAATAATAGTTTTTTAAGGTAAGCTGAGAGCAAAAAAACACAGAATGCATCCGAACAAAGTTGATCAAATTGATCAACTCAAAGTGATCTTATTTTCCAGATATTTTTAGTAAGATTTGTGACACCCAGCTCACAAACCTTCATTCTCCTGCATCAGTTTACGTTTTATAACTGTTTCCCCCCATAGGAAACTTTTTAATTAAGATATGA